TAGAAAAAGTGGACAACTGTGGGTTTTCCCCTGTAGTCTTCAAATATTTTAATACCCTTAACCTATGAGATATTTACGGTACTAAATGACGTAAGCACAGAGAGTCACCGTGTCCGCAAGTACGAAGGTGAAGTTTAATTTGGTGGTAGTGAAAAGGTTGATTAATTTTAACACCCCAGCAGGACGTACATTACCACTGCCGTGTCTTCCCTTTTCTCCATGATTGAGTCTAGAAGTACAACTATGTAAAACTTAATTTAGGTATGCGCTAAAATGCATCCCTGCGTTTTAAATATGTCAAAAAGAAAAACAAAATATATGGTTATGGGCTCATATTTTTTTATCTAAAAATATACCACTTACCGTTTTTTTTGTGCCTCCTGCATTCAAAGTTGATATTTTAATTTTTTGCCACATCATAAATTTGTGTCTTTAAATATATGAGCCCCCCCCACCCCCATCCGACGGCCACACGATGGCTGTGGATAGTATGGCTGCAAGAAAGATGTAAGAAACATTTTTTTTTTTTTAAATCCTCTTTTTTTCTGCTACCCACTTACACTTCAACGGAGCTAATCAATGCTTCAAATAACTGGGTGGCCGAGTGGTTTAAACTGACTCAAACCAAATAGGTTGCGGTCTGGAGTTCAATCTCCACCAAAGCCAACATCCCAAGCTCCCCTGGTGGATGGGACTCGGTTAGCCTTCGACAGCAACTCATCTAAGAGAAGGCAATCTTTGAATTCAAACTAGAAGCAAGAATGATCAATAAATTTATCGTGGGCCCTCAAATACAAGAAGAAGAACACCACCAAAAAAGAGTAGGTTTATTAGCGAATGTTTCAAAGAGCATCGCCAATTGAGTGTGTGGGGGTGTGGGGGTGTGGGGAGGTTGCTTTTGAATGTTTCCAAAAAGCAATTTAATTATGCACAACTACATTTCGAGTTATTCTAAAGACACATCGTCACACTGTGTCAGTTGGCGAAATATTCAATGTTCCTTACAACTTCAAGGGCTTTCTTGTTTTAGAAACGGCCCTCACAAGGGTCTTGTGTTTAAAATTAAAATTCTTATCTCTGCTCAACGACTTGATTACAACGTACACGTCCTTGTCTCTGTTATCAGCGGGGATTTGCAAGTATTGAGAGGGATTACCTTCAAACGGTCGATCATTTTTGGTATTTCATAAAACGCTTTGCTTTTTTTCCTTCCCGCATTGACTGCAGTCAAGTCTCATACTGGAGTTACTGTTGTATGCTTCACGTGTAAAACATGTACAGTGTACACTAAAACCCCCCCCCCCCACCACCATAACGTGCCCCGCTATATAGCGAATCACCTTCCCGCATTGACTGCAGTCAAGTCTCATACTGGAGTTACTGTTGTATGCTTCACGTGTAAAACATGTACAGTGTACACTAGAACCCCCCCCCCCACCACCATAACGTGCCCCGCTATATAGCGAATCCGGATATAACACGGTTGTGGTACGGCTCCCAAAATTTTGTAAATTCATTCGCACGTGAGTTGTTTTTTTTTTTAAAGTACTTGAGAAAAATCATAAAACGTGTGTATTCTTGTACAACACAAACACAAATCCACTGAAGTTAATCCAGCTTCAACACCACATAGCTCACTAAAACATGGTTCACTAACCACATGCCTCACTCACCACATAGCTCACTAACCACATGGCACACTAGCCGCATGGCCCACTAACCACACTGTTCACCAACCTCATGATAGCTCCTTTACCACAGGGTCCACTTACCATATAGCTCACTAATCACCTGGCTCACTCACCACATGGCTCACTCACCACGTGGCTCACTAACCACCACATATTTAAAACATTTTTTTTTAAATAAGTTATTTTTGTACGAAAAAAAAAAAAAAAAAAGAAACCCCATTCCGCGGGGAATTTTTTTTTGGGGAAAAGGTGCACCCCCCCCCCCCCCCCGCCATAGAGCAACCCCGTCATTAACGTGATCTAAGTTTGAGGAATCACATCTTTGCGCTAAAGCGATGTTTCACCGAACATCTTTATGTTATAGTGATGTTTCACCAAACATCTTTGCGCTATAGCGATGTATCACCAAACATCTTTGCGTTATAGTGATGTTTCCCCACACTTTGCGCTAAAGTGATGTTTCACAACACATCTTTGCGTTACAGCGATGGTTCACCAAACATCTTTGTGTTACAGCGATGTTTCACCGAACATCTTTGGGTTACAGCGATGGTTCACCGAACATCTTTGCGTTACAGCGATGGTTCACCGAACATCTTTGTGTTACAGCAATGTTTCACCGAACATCTTTCTGTTACAGCAATGTTTCACCGAACATCTTTGCGTTAAAGCGATGTTTCACCGAACATCTTTGCGTTACAGCGATGTTTCGCCGAACATCTTTGCGTTGCAGCGATGTTTCGCCGAACATCTTTGCTTTGCTTGATGGCTCACCGAACATCTTCGCGGTTTAGATATTAGTTAGTCATCGAGACCAAACCACGCACAGTACTGTGTTCCGACTTTGAGCCATAAAAATGTATCATGTCGTAACACAATGGCATCGGGCAGAGGGGCATTAAATTGTGTCATGTCGTCACACAGTGTCATCGGGCAGAGAAGCGCATTTTGAGATCTGTGGTGGGATCTTTCTGTAGCACGCGTGCAAAACACGCCAAACCCAGGACTTCACATTAACAAATATCCGTTTTATTTTCTCATTTGTATATATTATTTAAAATTTAAAAAGAAAAAATTAAAATGTGTACCAGATAAAAATGTAAAAAAAAACAATAGAATTTTAAAATCTAGTAGAGCTAAACGGTTGTGACACCACATACAATAACAAAGGGATACCAGACAAAAAAAATAAAATAAAATAGAATGATATCGGATAAAAATATAATATAACGATACCAGTTGTTTTTTTTTTTAAATAATAGAACCATACCAGATACAAATATATCATGAAACAATACCAGATGAAACATATAATAGAGTGATACCAGGCAAACTGCATGAAATCGATAACACATTAAATACAAAAGAGGAATGCCAGATAAGATATAACAAAGGGATAAAACACAATTTTAGTATGAACGTTGAAAGAAAATATACGAACATAAAATGAAATGAGGAATCCGTTAGGTTGCACAAAACACATGACAGAGTAGGACGAGTAGTATGAAAACCTATTTCCCATGTATTTGAGGGCCCAAATTTGTCAATTTAAACGAGCAAAGCTTCGCCTCTATCTAATGGCGCGCGCAGCTAACAGAGTGATTTGTACGAGTTATTAATAGCGACTTTATCAGTGGACATATGAGCTGTTTTAAAATGGAACTCATCACAAAACACAGACGGTCAAATTATTTTGTTCCATTAACGGATTTAAGTGTTCAAACACAGGATTATTTCTGTTAGCGTTGACACCAATGGTGACGGCAGTCCGTGGTGTTTAATTAATAATTTGTGTGTACAATTCAACATTACAAATTTAATAATTATTGCTGCATTTATCGTTAATGGTCTAAAAGAATTTTTTTTTAAAAATAAACTATCGCTAGATGAACGATCGCTAGATGAACGACCGGCCATTTTAATTGTTGTTGAATATTTGGATGAACTCAATAATAGAAAATAAAAGGTCAGAGTGAATAGTTTAAACCCCTTTAGAAGAGTTAAACTTGCTCTAACATACGGTCAACCTTTATCCTGACATAAGAATTGTACCAAAGAAAAAAGGTTGTCCTGGTTATTTCACAAAGGACCAACCTAGTCCTGGTTACTATAACAAAGAACAAACCTGTCCCTCGCTACTATCACAAAGAACAAACCTGTCCCTCGTTGCTATCACAAAGAACACACCTGGCCCTAGCTACTATCACAAAGAACCAACCTGGCCCTTGTTACTATCACAAAGAACCAACCTTGCACTCGCTACTATCACAAAGAACAAACCTGGCCCTCGCTACTATCACAAAGAACAAACCTGGTCCTGGTTACTATCACAAAGAACAAACCTGGCCCTCGCTACTATCACAAAGAACCAACCTGGTCCTCATTACTATCACAAAGAACCCATCTGTCCCTCATTACTATCACAAAGAACCAACCTGGCCCTCGTTACTGTCACAAAGAACCAACCTGGCCCTCGTTACCATGACAAAGAACCAACCTGGTCCTCGTTACTATCACAAAGAACCAACCTGGCCCGCGTTACCATGACAAAGAACCAACCTGGTCCTGGTAACTACCACAAAGAACCAACCTGCTCCTGGTGACTGTCACAAAGCACCAACCTAGCCTTGGTTACTACCACAAAAAACCAACCTGTCCCTCGCTACTACCACAAAGAAGAATGCTTTTTTTCCTTGACAACCTCTCAACATCTAGCATGGATTCAACAGAAATTCGACCAAGACTTTCACACAGCTCATAGGGACGCAATCTCTTGGGATCCCATAACCTTTTGTGTTTGTCTGTAAGAATGTGTCTCTATGCGACTGTGTGTCTCTATGGGAATGTGTGCCTGCACGGCTGTGTGTCTGTAACAGTGGCTCTCAACCTTCTCGATGCCGCGACCCTTAAATACAGTTCCTCATGTTGTGGTGGTCCCCAACCATAAAATTATTTTCGTTGTTTCTTTATACATATGTCTTTGGCGACCCCTCTGTAAGGGGTGCTTGATCCCCCAAAGGGGTCGCGACCCACACGTTAAGAACTGCTGGTTTATACGAATGTGTCTCTGCACGGCTGTATCTATTAAAAAAAATATGTGACTGTATGACTGTGTCTATAAGAATGTGTCTCTGTACGGCTGTGTCTATGAAATATGTGTCTGTATTACCGGTGTGCGTCTATCAGAAGGTAGGTTTTAGTATCCCCCCACCAAAAAAACAAAAACAAAAAACAAACAACATGATGCGTGTCACGTGACAATTACATGTGTAGTACGTCAGCAGGAGGCTTATTTGTAAGACGTCACTGAATGAGATTATCTCAAAACGTCCAAAGTTCTTGTGCAACAAATGTGTTGCTGTTTGCCCTATCTTGATAGTGTGCTCGTCTCATCCAGTTGATATCTCAAACAGTGTTGTAGTGTGTAGGCTCTATGTGTCATCTCTTAGTGACTCCCCATAGTGCGAAGTGTCTACCTGTGTCACTAAGGCATTATTTTTTCTAAAAAAATACTATTGACAGAAATTTCACGTTTGTTTTACAAATATTTAAAGTAATAATTGTGAATTGATGAATCTCGGTTGCTTGTCGTTCACCATTAGTATGCTAATATGTAGTGAGCGACCAGTGTGTTTGGTGATAATTTACAAGCTGTGTTTTAGCAGTAAATCTATTTACTACGTCACACTACGTGAATTATTAGTAAATAGAGGAGGATTGAGTAAAAAAAAAAAAACAATACACACATATTAATGTGCAGTGCTTATATTAAAAATAAATAAGCATTCATTGTCAGCCGTTTAGTTTGACATTTTTATTATACTGTTTGGAATCCATGGACGTTAGGATTAGTTACCCCCAAACCACCACCATCACTTTTGAGCTGGTGGAGTCGGAGAGCTGCGACATGTTTAGACTTCGGCATGCGGGCCAGTTCGGCCTAATCGACGTCTTTACGTCTGAGCTTTAGAAAGAATCAAATAAAATACTGATACTCGTGAGAAATATTGTTTCATATGCTTAAAATGTGAATATCTTATTAAGTAAAATTAGGATAATCTTATTTAAAATTTAATTTCCCAATAGCCCCTGGACAGTGGGGTTGTTTTTTTTTTTGGTCCTCCTACGAAACTATCTTACCGTTTTGATCGGCAATAATTTTTAACTTAAGATATTTTTAGCCGAAGCGGAGACATCTGGCCTGCGACTATCTTTCCCAAGCGAACAGCTCTCTCTATAAAAATGGAAGTTTTCCCTATTTTCAAATGTGTTTACTGGCTGAGTTTGGTGAGGTTTATACGTTGGTAAATGTCTAGGTTTGTTTAACAGAAGACAAGGAAACGTTTCAGATGTGGCCACTAAGGAACTGACCGGTCGGTGGTCTTCACGTCTCAGAGTTTGAGTCTCCTTAAAAGTACTTTGGGAAAACTGTTGAGCATGGTGCCATCAGGGCTAGACAGGATCGATGCCGTCATCGATCTGCTTGGACCCGACACCACAGACACGGTCCCCATAGATCTGCATGTAGACAAGCTGAGTTACACCGTCACTGACCAGCCCGGCAGCTGGTGGCAGAGGATAACAAATCTACAGGTCAGTTATGACGGGGAGTGTCAGCGGGGGAGAGGTCCTGAGGAGAAGTGACAGTAAACAGGGTGCTGCACCCCAATGATGTAGGTAGTGGGCATGGTGCTTAGACATTAGGGTGAATGGCAGAAGGGACGGTGCTTGACATTAGGTTAGATGGGAGCATGGGGCTATCCGTGAAGGATGGTATACATTAGGAAGGTAGCAGTAGGCAGGGTGCTCGAAATTTGGGGGGGGGGGTGGCAGTATGGAGGGTGCTATACAATAAGCTGGCAGCAGTGGGTAGGGTGCTAGACGTTAAAGTGGAGGCAGTAGGCATGGTGCTAGACATTAAGCCAGTGGCAGTAGGCAGGGCACGTCATAAAAAGGCGATGCAGTAGGCAGAATGTTACACATTTAGGTGGATGCAGTAGAGAGGGTGCTAGACATGAGGGTGGGTGGCAGTACAAATAGCTCTAGCCAAAACATAACACTAAGCCAAACATTCACACTAAGCCAAACCCTAACCCTATGTATAAAACTACCCTTTAGCAAACACTAATACTAAGACAAATCTTAACCTAAGCCAAACCCTAATGCTAAGGCAAACCCTAACCCCAAGCAAAACCCTAACGCTAATCCAAACCCTAACCCTAAGCCAAAACCTAATGCTAAGCCTAACCCTAACGCTAAGCCTAACCCTAACACAAAGAAACGGGTTAGGTTTTGGCTTAGGGTTAGGGTTTAGCATAAGGTTCGGCTTAGGGTTTAAGTTTGGCTTAGGGTTAGGGTTGGGATTGGGGTTAGGGTTTGGCTTAGCTTCAGGGTGTGGCTTAGGGCTAGGGTTTTGCTTAGAGTTAGGGGTTGCCTAAGGGTTAGGGTTTGTCTTAGGGTTAGGGTTAGGCTTAGGGTTAGGGATTTGTTTAGGGTTTTGCTTAGGGTTAGGGTTTTGCCTAGGGTTAGGTTTTGGATTAGGGTTGTTTTTGGGTTTGGCTTAGGATTAGGCTTAGGATAAGAGTATGGCTTAGGTTTAGGGTTGTGCTTAGGGTTAGGGTTAGGATTAGGGTTAGGGTTGTGCTTAGGGTTAGGGTTTAGCTTAGGGTTTTGCTTAGGGTTAGGGTTAGGCTTAGGTTTAAGGTTTGGCTTACTGTAAGGCTTTGGCTTGCGATTAGGTATTAGCTTAGGGTTAGGGTTTGCCTTAGGGTTAGGGTTTAGCTTTGCGTTAGGGTTTAGCTTAGGGTTAGGGATTTGCTTAGGGTTAGGGTTTGCCATCGGGTTAGGGTTTTGCTTAGTGTAAGGTATGGCTTTGGGTTAGGGTTTAGCTTAGGGTTAGGTTAAGGCTTAGGGTTAGGGTTTTGCTTAGGGTTAGGGGTTACCTTAGGGTTAGGGTGTGACTTAGGGTTAGGGTTAGGCTTAGAGTTAGGGTTAGATTTAGGGTTTGATTAGGGTTTGGCTTTGGGTTAGGGTTTGGCTTAGGGTTAGGCTTTGTCTTAAGGTTAGGGTTTGGGTTTGCCATAGGTTTAGGGTTTTCTTAGGATTAGGGTTTGCCTTAAGGTTAGGGTTTTGCTTAGTGTAAGTGTTAGGCTTAGGGTTAGGGGTTTTCTTAGTGTAAGGGTTAGGCTTATTGTTTTTCTTAGGGATAGGGTCTACCTTAGGGTTAGGGATTTGCTTAGGGTTAGGGTTTGCCAAAGGTAAGGGTTTTGCTTAGTGTAAGGTATGGCTTTGGGTTAGGGTTTAGATTAGGGTTAGGGTGAGGCTTAGGGTTAGGGTTTTGCTAAGTGTTAGGGGTTACCTTAGGGTTGGGTTTGACTTAGGGTTAGGCTTAGAGTAAAGTTAGATTTAGGGTTTGGTTTAGGGTTTGGTTTTGGATTAGGGTTTGGCTTAGGGTTAGGGTTAGATTTAGGATTTGGCTTAGGTTTTGGCTTAGGGTTTGGCTTAGGGTTTGGCTTAGGTTTTGGCTTAGGGTTTGGCTTGGGGTTTGGCTTAGGGTTAGGGTTTTCTTAGGGTTAGGGTTTGTCTTAGGGTTAGGGTTTTGCTTAGGCTTGGCTAGGCTTCGGCTTAGGGTTTTGGTTTTTCTTAGGGTTAGGGTTTTGCCTAGGGTTGGCTTAGAGTTTGGCTTAGCGTTTGGGTTTTTCTTAGGGTTAGGGTTTGGCTTAGGGTTAGGGTTTTGCTTAGGGTTAGGGGTTTGCCGTAGGGTTAGGGTTTGACTTAGGGTTAGGGTTTGACTTTGGGTTAGGCTTAGGCTTAGGGTTCTGCTTAGGGTTTTGCTTAGCCTTAGGGTTATGATTAGTCTTAGGGTAAGTGTTTGGCTTAGGGTTAGGTTAAGGCTTAGGGTTAGGGTTTTCCTTAGGGTTAGGTTTTTGCTTGGGGTTAGGGGTAAGCTTAGGGTTAGGGTTACATTTCGGGTTTCGCTTAAAGTTTGGCTTAGGTTTTGGCTTAGGGTTAGGGTTTGGCATAGGTTATGGTTAGATTTTTGGTTTGACTTAGGGTTTGGCTAAATGTTAGGGTGTGGGTTTGCCATAGGGTTAGGGTTTTGCTTAGGGTTAGGGGTTGACTTAGGGTTAGGGGTTGACTTAGGGTTAGGGTTTGTCTTAGGGTTAGGCTTAGGGTTAGGGATTTGCTTAGGGTTTTGCTTAGGGTTGGGGTTTTCCTTAGAGTTAGGGTTTTGCTTAGGGTTAAGGTTTTGCCTAGGGTTAGGTTTTAGATTTGGATTTTTAGGGTTTGGCTTAGGATAGGGCTTAGGGTAAGTGTGTTGCTTAGGGTTAGGGTTTAGCTTTGGGTTAGGGTTAGCGTTTTGCTTAGGTTTAGGCTTAGGTTTAAGTTTTGGCTTACTGTTAGTCTTTGGCTTGTGGTTAGGGTTTGCAATAGGGTTAGGGTTTGGCTTACTGTAAAGGTTTGGCTTGGGGTTAGTGTTTAGCTTAGGGTTAGGGTTAGGCTTATGGTTATGATTAGGCTTAGGATTTTTATTAGGGTAAGGGGTTGCCTTAGGGTTAGGGTTTGGCTTAGGGTTAGGGTTGGGCTTAGGGTTTTATTTAGGGTTAGGGTTCGGCTTGGGGTTAGGGGTAAGCTTAGGATTAGGGTTAGATTTAGGGTTTAGCTTAAAGTTTGGCTTAGACTTTGACTTAGGGTTAGGTGTAGATTTAGGGTTTGGCTTAGGGTTTGGCTAAGTGTTAGGGTTTGGATTTGCCATAGGGTTAGGGGTTGCCTAATTGTTAGTGTTTGTCTTAGTGTTTCGGTTGGGCTTAGGGTTAGGAATTTGCTTAGGGTTTTGCTTAAGGTTAGGGTTTTCCTTAGATTTGGGGTTTTGCTTAGGGTAAGGGTTAGGGTTTGGGTTAATGTAAGGCTTAGGGTTAGGGTTAGGCTTAGGGATTTGCTTAGGGTTTAGCTTGGGGTTAGGGTTTTCCTTAGGGTTAGGCTTTTGCTTAGGGTTAGGTTTTGGATTAGGGTTGTTATAGGGTTTGGATTTGCCATAGGGTTAGGGGTTGCCTTAGGGTTAGTGTTTGTCTTAGGGTTACGGTTGGGCTTAGGGTTAGGAATTTGCTTTGGGTTTTGCTTAAGGTTAGGGTTTTTCTTAGAGTTAGGGTTTTGCTTAGAGTTAGGGTTTGACTTAGGGTTAGGGTAAGGCTTAGGGTTAAGGTTAGGCTTAGGGTTTTGCTTAGGGTTAGGGGTTGCCTTAGGGTTAGGGTTTGTCTAAGGGTTAGGGTTAGGCTTAGGGTTAGGGATTTGCTTAGGATTTTGCTTAGGGTTATGGTTTTCCTTAGGACTAGGATTTTGCTTAGGGTTAGGATTTTGCCTAGGGTTAGGTTTTGGATTAGGGTTGTTATAGGGTTTGGCTTAGGATTAGGCTTATGGTAAGAGTATGGCTTAGGGTTAGGGTTTAGCTTTGGGTTAGGGTTTGGCTTAGTGCAAGGGTTTGGCTTGGGGTTATTGTTTAGCTAAGGGTTAGTGTTAGGCTTAGGGATAGGGTTTGCTTAGGGTAAGGGGTTGCCTTAGGGTTAGGGATTTGCTTAGGGTTCGGGTAAGGCTTAGGGTTAGGGTAAGGCTTTATGGTTAGGCTTAGGGTTAGGGTTTTGCTTCGGGTTTTGCTTAGGCTTTGGATTATGATTAGGCTTAGGGTAAAAGTTCTGCTTAGGGTTAGTGTAAAGCTTAGGGTTAGGATTTTCCTTAGGATTAGTATTTGGCTTTGGGTTAGGGGTAAGCTTAGGGTTAGGGTTAGATTTAGGGTTTGGCTTAAAGTTTGGCTTAGATTTGGCTTAGGGTTAAAGTTTGGCTTAGGGTTTTGCTTAGGGTTAGGGTTTTCCTTAGGGTTAGGCTTAGGTTTAAGATTTGGCTTACTGTAAGGCTTTGGCTTCGGGTTAGGCTTTGCCATAGGGTTAGTGTTTGGTTTAGTGTAAGGCTTTGGCTTGGGTTAGGTATTAGCTTAGGGATAGGGTTTGCCTTATGGTTAGGGTTTAGCTAAGGGTTAAGGTTTAGCTTAGGGTTAGGATTTAGCTTAGGGTTATGATTTAGCTTAGGGTTAGGTTTAGGCTGAGGGTTAGGGTTTCACTGGTGTTAAGGTTTGGCTTGGGGTTAGGGTTTAGCTTAGGGTTAGGGATTTGCTTAGGGTTAGTGTTTGCTCAGGGTTAGGGTTTGGCTTGGGGTTAGGGGTTAGCTTAGGGTTAGGGTTAGATTTAGGGTTTGGCTTAGTGTTTCTCTTATGGTTTGGCTTAGGGTTAGGTTTTGCTTAGGGTTAGGGTTAGATTTAGGGTTTGGCTTAGGGTTGGCTTAGGGATTGGCTTAGGATTTTGCTTAGGGTTAGGGTTAGGTTTGCGATAGTGTTAGGGTTTTGCTTAGGGTTAGGGTTTGCCTTAGGGTTTTTGGCTTAGGGTTAGGGTTTAGCTTAGGATTAGGGATTTGCTTTGGGTTAGGGTTTGCCTTAGGGTTTTGGTTTTGCTTAGGGTTAGAGTTTGGCTTAGGGTTGGCTTAGGGTATGGCTTATGGTTAGGGTTAGGTTTGGCTAAGGGTTTATCTTAGGGTTCGTTTTTGGCTTTGGTTTTGGCTTAGGTTTTGGCTTAGGTTTGGCGTTTGGCTTAGGGTTAGGGTTTGGCTTAAAGTTAGGGTTTGGTTTAGGGTTTGGCTTAGGTTTAGGATTGGGCTTAAGGTTAGAGTTTGACTTAGGCTTAGCGTTTGGCTAGGGGTTAGGATTTGGCTTTGGGTTACGGTTTTCCTTATGGTTATGGTTTGGCTTATGGGTAGAGTTAGTTTAGGGTTAGTGATTGTCTTGGAGATAGGGTTTGGATTAGGGTTAGGTTTTTGTCTTAAGTATTTGGTTTTCAGGTTTAATTTTGGAGTTTTGCTTTGGGGTTTTGCTAAGGTTTTGGCTTGGGGTTGGGCTTACGGTTTGGCTTAGAGTTTGATTTAGGGTTTTGCTTAGGGTACAGCTTAGACTTTGGCTTATGTTTTGGGTTAGGATTTAACTTAGGGTTTGGGTTTTGCTTGTTGTTAGTGTTTGGGTAAGAGTTTAGCTTAGGGTTTTTCTTAGGCTTTGGATTTTGCTTAGGCTTTGGGTTTGGATTAAGGTTAGGGTTTTGCTTAGGGTTGGGATTTGGCTTAGGGTTAGGGTTCTGCTTAGGGATAATGTTAAGATTAGGGTTGGCGTCAGTGTTGGGGTTAGATTATGTTAAGGTTGGGATTAGTTTTCTTTGGTGTTGAGGTTATGGTAAGCGTTAGGGTAGGAGTTATGGTTAGTGTTGAGTTTAGGGTTAGTGTTAGAGTTGGAGTCAGTGTAATTGCTAGGGTTAGGGATTGGTTTATTGTTAGGGTTAGGTTAGAGTTAGCAATAGGATTAGAGTTAGTGTTATGGTTACTGTAAGCGTTAGGGCCATAGTTAGCATTGCATTAGTGTTAGGGTTAGGTTTAGGCTTGGAGTTATGTTTAGTCTTAAGTTTAAATTTAGGGTTAGGGTTAATGTTAATGGTAGGTTTAGGATTAGGTTTAATCTTGGCATAGGGTTGGGGTTATGGTTGGAGTTATATTAATGTTCAGTTTAGGGTTAGGGTTCTGTTTTGGGTTAAGGTTAAGAATACGTTTTAGAATTATGGCTACGGTTAGGTTTAGTGTTATCGTGAGGGTTAGAGTTAGATTTAGAATTAGGTTAATGGTTGGGTCTAGTTTTAGGTATATGCTTAGGGTTAGATTTAGATTTAGATTTAGGGTTAGGGTTACGGTTATGGTTATGGTTAGGTTGGGGTTTGATTTAGCGTGATGCTAAGGGTTGGGGTTATGTTTAGGAATAGGTTTAGTATTGGGATAAGGGTTGAGGTTACGTTTTGGACTAGGTTTAGGCTTAGTGTTGGGATTATGATTCGTGTAATGGTTGGAGTTAAGGTTGGGTTACTGTTGGAGTTATGGTTACACTTTGGATTATTTTTGTGGTTAGGTGTAGGGTTGCGATTATGTTTTGGTTCAGTGTTAGGGTTGGGATTAATGTTAGGGTTAGTGTCGGAGTTAGGGTAAGGGGTGGGTTTATGGTTAGAGTTAGGATTATGTTTGGGGTTAGGGTTAAGGTTTGAGTTAGATTGGGGGTTAGTGTTTTGTTTAGCATTTAGGTTATTGCTTGGGTTAGGGTTTTGTTTTGGGTTAGTGTTGGGGTTACGGTTTTGCTTGGGATTAGGGTTGGTGTTAGGGTTGGTGTAAGGTTTAGGTTGAGGGTTGGGATAAGTTTTTGTTTAGGTTTAGGTTTGGGCTATCGTTAGGTTTGGTGTTAGGGTTTTTTTATGGTTAGAGATAGGTTTAGGGTTGTGGTTAGGGTTGGAGATATAGTAAGAATATGAGTTATAATTAGTGTTGGCATTTGGTTAGGGTTAGGTTTTGGGTTAGGTTTATGGTTTGGGTTAGGATTTGTGATAGGGTTAAGGTTCGTGATACAGTTAGGATTAGGGTTAGTACTGGGGTTATTTTTAGGGTTTGGGTTAGGATTTGGGTAGCTGTTAGGGTTAGGGTTGGGATTAGTATTAAATTTAGGGTTTGAGTTAGATACTCTCTTAGAAATGATTTTCTTTAATACCCCTTCACAGCTAAGTTGATTTTTTTAAATTAAAATTCTGTTTTATACTTTTAGTCGTAATGTCCGCAGTTGTGCTTAGGCTTTCTGCGGGTCTTTTCCTACTCTAAGAAGGGCCCTCCCAGAATTGTTTTGAAAATTTTAAAATGCAGATGTTCATTTTTTCACGTACCCGACTTTTTTTCATGTTTTTCATGCCTCTAAACTTAATCAGATAATAAAAGTAGAGATGCTAGTATTAAGTTAGCCGTCCATTGACCTGATTATTGATATAGGTAAGTTAGGTGTCCATTAACCTAGTCTGGTATATACAAAACTTTATTTTTATTTGTTACTAATAATAGGTTTTTAACAATTTTTTTTTAAAGATTTGAAATTATTAATTTGACTTGAATAAAGAAAATTAAAAATCTCACGGAGGTTTGGAGAAATATTTCACGTAAAAAGTTTTAGTGGGGTTTTTTTTGTTTCTTTTTTTTTTTTTTTTTTTTTTTTTTTTTTTTTTTTTTTTTTTTAAGAAAAAAAAAAACAAATTTTTAAAGCAAAAAACTAACTCGGTTTTTTTAGAATTTTTTCCGTTTTTTTGTTTTTTTTTATTTGTTTTTTTTTTTTTTTTTTTTTTTTTTTTTTTTTTTTTTTCTTTTTTTTTTCTTTTTTTTTAAAGAAAACAAACAACGAATTTCTAAAGCAAAGAACTAACTCGGTTTTTTGAGAATTTCTCACGTATTTTTGTTTGTATGTAGTTGTTTTTTTTGTTTTTTTGGTTATACAGACTACTCTCGACGCATCTCTTTATAGGCTTGATTGAAGACTCTCTTTACCAAATTCACTCTCTGTGTATGGCCATCTATGAGCTTGTGGATTATTAACACGACCGGTGATCCTTTTTTTTCTTTTTTTTTTTTTGAGCATTTTCTCGGGGACCTGTTCATAACATTAGTACTTGTGCACGCGTACAGTTACCAGGCGGGTCAGGTTAAGGAATCCTGGAGATGCCGGGTTTGAACCAGGGACGTATAGTTTGAAAATCCCTGAATTTCGTTTTCCAGACAACTTTTTTTTTATCTTACATATCTTTAATGCATACATTTTGTCTTAATCGACATTGCTGTCTTACACTTAATGCATTTGTTTTGTGTTTTGTTGATGTCGTTCTCCCCCCCCCCCTCAGATGCCGTGGGAATGGATGGAAAAGGCGAAACCTACGGAGGTTCTGAAGGGCGTCAGCTTCACGGCCAGGAGCGGGGAACTCTTGGCTATCATGGGCGGATCAGGTCAGAGAACATGTTGTTTTTTTTATTTTAAAAACAACCGACATCCCTATTAAAGAATACCAGAATCCTTAAACAAATACTACCCATCCTTAAACAAATACTACCCATCCTTAAACAAATACTCCCCATCCTTAAACAAATACTCCCCATCCTTAAACAAATACTCCCCATCCTTAAACAAATACTCCCCATCCTTAAACAAATACTCCCCATCCTTAAACAAATACTCCCCATCCTTAAACAAATACTCCCCATCCTTAAACAAATACTCCCCATCCTTAAACAAATACTCCCCATCCTTAAACAAATACTCCCCATCCTTAAACAAATACTACCCATCCTTAAACAAATACTACCCATCCTTAAACAAATACTACCCATCCTTAAACAAATACTACCCATCCTTAAACAAATACTACCCATCCTTAAACAAATACTACCCATCCTTAAACAAATACTACCCATCCTTAAACAAATACTACCCATCCTTAAACAAATACTACCCATCCTTAAACAAATACTACCCATCCTTAAACAAATACTACCCATCCTTAAACAAATACTACCCATCCTTAAACAAATACTACCCATCCTTAAACAAATACTACCCATCCTTAAACAAATACTACCCATCCTTAAACAAATACTACCCATCCTTAAACAAATACTCCCCATCCTTTAAAAATTGTAATACTTGCATCCTAAAGAATTACTATTATCTTTAAAAAACCGTCTAAGTTATTTTAAAATGTGACAGCATTGTCCTTGAAAATAAAAATATCAAACGACATAAACAACGGTCAACAAAAATCAACAAAAATCAAGAAAAGCGAACAAATATAAAGAAATATCAAGAATATCAACAAACACCAACACATAGCCTATCAACAACTATCAACGAATATCAACAAACGTCCTTGGTCTATAGAAACCTAGTAAGTCCCCCGACATCACAGAAAATAGCTATGCTCATAACGGTGCCATCTATCCCTCCTTGTGTGGTGGAATCCATAAGCCCCCCCCCAGAGGCGTAGTGAGGGGGCAGGGGGGACAGATGTCCCCGGGCGCAAGCTAGTTAAGGGCGCCAAAATGTGCTTTGATATAATATTATTGGTAAAAATAATGGTTTGAGAGTTGAAAAAAAGAAAAGGGGGTGCTTTAAAATGGATCTTGTCCCCGGGCGCGAATCTTGTCCGCGGGCGCCAAACACCCTCGCTACGCCTCTGCCCTCTCCCACCCCTCCCCTTCCCTGTCCCCTAAAGCTCGGTCAATTCCCTATGAATATTTAGTTATACAAAAATATACAGTCAAAAATAGTATGAGCACATTGTTAACTATTCAATAAGGAGATTGATAACAAATGATAACCATTTCGTTAACATATCAATAGCTCTTTATACCGGTTAGCAGAACAAATGATCTAATTCAGATAAAATTCAGAAGAGGAATTTTAAAGAGCCTATAATAGTTTTACTTCTTATTCTAAAAAAAAAATCATAGCTTCAAGTGATGGTGCGGTTAAAATGTTATCAAGTCCAAACTTTTTGGTTTTAAGTTCAAACTCCAACGTAACCCCCTTTTTTTTAAGATGATCATTTTTTTCCCCCCATTTCAACTTTGTTATATGGAAAAATGTAAAGGGGAAGGGATTGTAATTAACTTGCCCCCCCCCCCAACCAAACCTGTGTAGACAACCCTGCCCTATAACAATGTATCTTAACAAAGATCCATTGCTGTTATCCACTGTTATCCACTTTTATCCACTGTTATCCAGTTATCCGCTTTTATCCACCGTTATCCACCGTTATCCACTGTTATCCACTGTTATCCACTGTTATCCACTGTTATCCACTGTTATCCACTGTTATCCACTGTTATCCACTGTTATCCACTGTTATCCACTGCTGAACGTTACATTTGTCATTTTACAATTCCCCCCCCCCCTGTATCTACCAATTTCCCATTACACCAACATGGCAGTGTGGTATTTGCTGACCTTGACCTCTGATCTGCCCTATATTTCCTTTCTGAAAACCCTACACGTTACATTTGTCATTTTACAATCCCCCCCCCCCCTGTATCTACCAATTTCCCATTACACCAACATGGCAGTGTGGTATTTGCTGACCTTGACCTCTGATCTGCCATATATTTCCTTTCTGAAAACCCTACAGGCAGTGGCAAGACCTCCCTGCTCGACGTCCTGGCGTGCCGGACCACCTCAGGCGTGGTCACCGGCGACATCTACCTGAACTCTGTCGTCCGCACCAAAGCCATCCTCGACTCGTGCTCGGGGTACGTCCGCCAAGACGACCGCTTGATCGCCTTCCTCACCGTCAGGGAGACGCTCATGTTCGTGGCTCAGCTCAAGCTGCCACGGACCTTCACACAAGCCATGATAGCGAACAGGGTGAGCGTTTACTCTTAGTGTCGCACAAATGGCGTTTTTAAAGACGGGGTGGGAAAAAGGAGGGGAGGGGGCGTCTCGCCCATGTTGGCACCTATTTGTCTAAATATTGAGGGGCCATATGTTCATTAAATTGTCAGTTGTATTTACATTAATACCTTGAATATCACGTGGGTCACGTACAGAGGGCATCCCCCCCCCCCCGTTTTAATGAGATGTGAGGGAGAAAGTGTGTGGAAGGGTCGATTAATGGGATATGGTAAGGGGTGCTGTAGAAGCAATGAAGATGGGATTCTTGGGCTTAAGATTAGGGACATGGGGGAGGGCGTAAGATGTGAGGGTAAATACGAGAGTTGCGTTTTGCTACCTAAGCGAGGGCAGTATAGGATGAAACGTGTTATACAATTCAAATAATTGAGAACCTCTGGATGTGTCTCCATATAGCACATTGCTACAAATAGTGAACATGGCAGGTTATAAGTGACAACTTTTCTCTGACTCCAGGTGGACCTGGTCATCGCAGAGCTTGGACTGACCCACGCCGCCGATACCAAGGTTGGCAATGGCACCATCCGGGGCTTGTCCGGGGGCGAGAGGCGGCGTGTTAGCATAGGAATACAACTGCTCATTCTACCAAGTAAGACTCTTACTATCTCGGTATTTATAGCAAGTAAGACTTTTACTGCGCATTTGTACCAAAGTGTAACATTCTTTTTCATTCTGTGTGCCATTGGACTGTGCACATTTTATATAGCACAACAATATAATATGTTTTACCCACACCTACCCCCGTTATTACGTTATGTAACATATCTAATGACCACCCCCTAATATTATATAACATTTCCACCTCTCCCCCATCCCTCCCCGATACAACTGAATAAAGACCAAAAAACAAGCATATTTCACGCAAAAAAAGCTTGAAAAAAAAAATCTATGATAATTTTGTAAATTTGAAAGCTAAAGCAAAAACAAAACAAAAAAACAAAACAAAAACAAAAAAAGAAAAAGAAAAAACCTATTTAAAAAGTTATACATATAATATATACGAATTGTTATATAACATTGCTTTCGATCCTCCCCCCACACCACATAAAATATAACAAAATGATAAACCACCCGTCCACCCCCCCCCTCTGCGTTATATAACGTGTGCACGGTCCTCACACAATCATTCTTTACGGCACAAATAAATAGACGATATGTCATGGTTTCTGGACGCACGGTCTGTGCGGGAAACATTGACAAGATGTCCCTCAAAGTGCGTAGCTGTGTTTGTTATCAGAAGTGTTCAACATTACTATTCGGGTTGTGAAAAGGAAGAGGGGGGGGGGGCTTGAACAAATAACAGTAGTGGCTCTGGCATATGTATCCATCCCATTCCTGTGGCGCTGCAGCCCATCTAGGGCTTTGGCCTGCCTCATCGCATCCCCTCCCCCCTTCTTTTTTTAACCCATACCTACCTGATGCTTTTCTTTTCCATCTAAGCCTAGGTCAGCCTCTGGGCAGTTTTCCTCTAGGGGGGTGTGGTGGTGGTGGTGGTGCACCCTCTTTACTCCTCTGTCATTTGACATTCTTTTAAGTGTTGCTCGTAAGTAGGCAACAGGTATATGCAGGCTGACAACTACGGAACACCAATCACCCAACAAAGTTCACGATTAGGAGATGTTCAATAACCGACTTCTTTATTACTCACATCACCTGCACTCATAACAGAAGCACTAGCCAGCGGCACTACTAATCCTTTCGAGAACATAATCAAAAAAAAAAAAAATCCTTAATCAGACAGTCCAACTATCTCTCTTCATGACACAGTCCTCGTTCGTGTACAGAATATACCACTCCTCTACCACTCTCGATCTCACGCCTTATAATCACACACGACTTGTTAGTCATTCGTCTTTTTCTCTCATCCAATGACCATTTAGCCACACTTCGTGACATAACTCGTGGACCAAAAAGAGTTCACACTAACAACAGTGATTCTAATAAAAACTCTCACCATCCATGAACAAGTTTTCATACCAAAACGTCGTGCCACTAAATCTAGCTCACCACAGTGTTCCTCCCAGAGTTGCCTGCCGTTTTTTTTTTTTTAAATATTTCTGCTACTAGCGTGAGAGCTTGATATAGACTATTCTGAAATATTTATGAATACTGCCATCTTTTATTTCTGCATATCCTCTCCTGACCCATACCGTGTGTATCAAATGTTCCATCTACATAGCACGACTGACCCATATTGTTTATATCCCTAGGTATATTATTTCTGGACGAACCTACCTCTGGCCTGGATTCCTTTACTGCTAGCAGTATCGTTAAGACGCTGTCCCGGTTAGCATCCAAGCACAGGACGATCATCATGTCTATACATCAACCCAGGTAAGTTATTCTCCTAACTTAGCATTGGTCAGTCATCATGTCTATACATCTACCCAGGTGAGTTAGTCTCCTAAATTAGCATTGGTCAGTGATCATGTCTATACATCAACCCAGGTGAGTTAGTCTCCTAACTTATCACTGGCCAGTCATCATGTCTATACATCAACCCAGGTGAGTTAGTCTCCTAACTTATCATTGGTCAGTCATCATCTCTATACATCAACCCAGGTGAGTTAGTCTCCTAACTTATCATTGGTCAGTCATCATGTCTATACATCAAACCAGGTGAGTTAGTCTCCTAACTTAGCATTGGTCAGTCATCATCTCTATACATCAACCCAGTTGAGTTAGTCTCCCAACTTAGCATTGGTCAGTCATCATGTCTGTACACCAACTAGAAAGAACGTACATACTATCATAACAAAGTTTGAGATATTTAGCACAGTCAACTCTATAAATGACTAGGTTGACATATTTAACACAGTCAACTCTGTCATGGCTAGGTTTAACATATTTAACACAGTCAACTCTATCACGGCTAGGTTTGACACTTTTAACACAGTCAATTCTATCACGGCTAGGTTTGACATTTTTAACACAGTCAACTCTATCATGGTGCTGTCCAAAGGAAGTGTTGTCTACAATGGTCCGGCACCAAAGATGGTGACGTACTTCACCAATTTAGGATACCCTTGTCCTGAGCACACCAACCCATGTGACTTTTATAGTAAGCTTGTCAAGTGTGTTGTATGTTGAACGTATAGTTGATGTTCTATGTCAGTGGTTCTCATCCTTTGGGTCGCGACCACTTTCGGGGTCAAACGACAATTTTCCTGGGGTCGCCTAAGACCATCAGAAAACACATACACTCTACAGTGATGAAGTAGCAATGAAAATAAGTTTATGGTTGTGGGTCACCACAACATGAGGAATTGTATGTAAAGGGTCGCGGCATTTCAAGGTTTGGAAACCACTGCTCTATATAGTAGCATGGAATAACTTAGCTGGTGACGTATATTTTTTTTTCAAATGCATGATTGACCTACTGTCTCATAAACATAGGTTAGAAGTCAATATGATGTAAATATATAGGTTAAACATTCCGTTTAACTGTTATCCTCACTGTTTAATATTGAAATTTAACTGTTACTTTTATTGTCAAACACTGAAGGGCTGGCCATCGACTTACACATCTATCCTTGACGTTTATTTGGGGCCTCAAAGGGTTAACATTCATTATTAACGGGTGTTAACAATTAACATTTCTTCGTGTTTAGCGCGTGTCTGAAATGTTCAAGCTCAAAAATGTTCAACTTGCATCAGCTTCGAATCTCATAGTCTTAACATCCTGATGTATAATTTAAAACATGGTGAACTCTTATATATTCCTCATAAAGAACTGATAGCTCTCATTTGGTGCAACACTGTAGCTCTGAGTTTCAATTTTATTTCCAAATAAATGGAAAGGCTTTCTTTCGTGGAGCCCAACTCTTTCAGGCTGTTCATGGTTCTAGAATGAATCCATTGTTTTTTTTTTTTGTTTTGTTTTAGATGGTTCAATTGCCTGACTGTCATAGCGTAATTCTTTCCAGTTGGATTATTTAATGGGCCATCTTCCATAATCACGGTAGTACTTTCTAATCGTATTATTCAATGGCCCAACTTTCTTGTGGTAACACTTTTGTAATCGATTATTCAATAGCCCAACTTTCATGTGGTAACACCTTTGTAATCGTATTATTCAATGGCCCAACTTTCTTGTGGTAACACTTTTGTAATCGGATTATTCAATGGCCCAACTTTCTTGTAATAACACCTTTCTAATCGAATTATTCAATGGCCCAACTTTCATGTGGTAACACTTTTGTAATCGGTTTATTCAATGGCCCAAATGTCTTGTGGTAACACCTTTACAAATGGATTATTCAATGGCCCAAATGTCTTGTGGTAACACCTTTGTAATCGGAATATTCAATGACCCAACTTTCTTGTGGTAACACTTTTGTAATCGGATTATTCAATGGCCCAACTTTCATGTGGTAACACCTTTGTAATCGTATTATTCAATGGCCCAACTTTCATATGGTACCACCTTTGTAATCGTATTATTCAATGGCCCAACTTTCATGTGGTAACACCTTTGTAATCGGATTATTCAATGGCCCAACTTTCATGTGGTAACAACTTTGTAATCGTATTATTCAATGGCCCAACTTTCATGTGGTAACACCTTTGTAATCGTATTATTCAATGGCCCAACTTTCTTGTGGTAACACTTTTGTAATCGAATTATTCAATGGCCCAACTTTCATGTGGTAACACTTTTGTAATCGTATTATTCAATGGCCCAACTTTCATATGGTAACACCTTTGTAATCGTATTATTCAATGGCCCAACTTTCTTGTGGTAACACCTTATTAATCGGATTATTCAATGGCCCAAAGTCCAAATGTGGTAACATCTCTCGAATCGGAGGTTTTAAAGCTAATTCCACTTATTTAATATATATTATATATAAATTAAAGTATGTTTAAAAAAAATGGTAGCAAGAAATAAATAATTGAAAAGAATTACTGGCCACAGCATGACTTACTAACATCACCTGGTTTTGATGTTGTTAGTTGATTTAGACACAGTGTGACTTACTAACATCCCCTTCTTTTGATGTTGATAGTTAATTTAGCCATATCGTGACTTACTAAACATCACTTTCTTTTGATGGTGACAGTTCATTTAGCCACAGTGTGACTTACTAACATCCCTTTCTTTTGATTGTGACAGTTGATTTAGCCACAGTGGACGGCACGTCTAAGGAACAAGAGGAGATAACCTCCCGAGTTGTCAAGACGCTGCATGACGCCTTCAGAGTGACGGAGGAGTCGGTTACAGACATCGAATCTTACAGACAAGACGTAATCGAAGCTAGGGAAATAAAGGTTTGCGATACTGTAGGTCGATCTTTTCCATGGTGGGGGGATAATATGTCAGTGATTGGCGCATTTGGCCTCAACTATATGGTGCCTTACTGTCAATATAGTCAGAGTATCAGTGTAAGATCGATGACGTGTAGTGTTTTATAATACCTTACCTTTGACCAATGAAGCAAGGGCCGTGCGAAAGGGAGGGGGTGGGACGAAACAGGGGGGGGGGGGTTGCCACGGGCGCGAACATCGAGAGGCGCCAAAATCTTTTAAAGATACGATTTTAATAGTTAATTAAAAACTAAAACCCAAAGTGCTATGAAGCAAGGGCCGTGCGAAAGGGAGGGGGTGGGACGAAACAGGGGGGGGGGGGGTTGCCACGGGCGCGAACATCGAGGGGCGCCAAAATCTTTTAAAGATACGATTTTAATAGTTAATTAAAAACTAAAACCCAAAGTGCTTCTCAAAGACAAGGGCAGAGGGGCGCCGCACCAAAATCTTAAATTTAGTGATCCGCCTCGGACGTACTATTTTCTACTTCAGCCCGGACGCCAATTGTCCTTGGCAAGGCCCTGAATGAAGCCATTGTAATTTTTTTTTTAAATATTGAACTTCTACTAATGACGCTATTGTGATGTTATAATTTCTAATAAAGAGACCCTTACTAATTTAGTTATTGATATAGTCAATTGAGTCGGTGGGGTGGAAACAACAAATTTCACTTTCTTAATATTATGAACCTGATTTCGTTTATTTATCCCTGGACTCCAGCAATCCATTGACGGAATGAAGGAGCTGACCGACTCCCCCTACGTCAAGCGAGTGACCGGTGATGACACCCTTCAGAATCTGATAGACGCCTACGAGAGACAGCGGTCCTGTCCAGGTCTTGGTACACAGTTCGTCATTCTCTTCAGGTCAGTTCATGTGTACACACATAAACTTTATTGCAATGGAAATCAAAGAAAAAAAAATGATCAATTGGAAAATAGGTATATATATATATACTTATCATGTAAAACCTATCACTTGAAACTTATCACTTGAAACCTATCCCTTGAAACCTGTTACTTTGGAATAATATCACTTGAAACGTATCACTTATCACTTGAAACACTATCACCTCCCCTCCAGGAGATTTATTCGAGTCACCGTGGATGACTACCCAGCCCTGCTGACCCACCTGGTCCAGGCCCTGCTCATGTCCCTGCTGCTGGGCACCGTCTACATTGACCTCAAGCTCAGCCAGGTCTCCATCAGGGATTGGTTCGGTGTCATGTTTATGATCAGCGTCATGTACCCATACATGGTCATCTTGGGGCTCATTGGCACCTGTAAGTCACATGCTAGGATTAAATCTGCCGTCGTTTCTATAAGATTAAAATCTGGCATGAAATGGTGTCCTGATTTTGAAGGCCCTAAAAGTGTTACTTGGGCTAAGGTTACTTAAGTCCCTAAAGTCTTTAATTATAATAGTATACCCCCAGCCGTTTTTACGTGAAAAGTCGTATTCTGAAAGAAATATTTCCAATGTGTTTTATATATTAGCTATGTAAGATCGTGTATAATAATAATATATATACATCATTTTCTGCCAGTTGCCATTCATCCTTACATCTACAAACAGTTGGTAAAAATTAGTGGCTTTCCATATAATTCCGCAAAATTTTTAAGGAGATCCGCTACAAAATGTGACATTGTACGAATAGTTTTGTAGAGAACACCATAAGACATGCTAGCGGTGAAATTAAGCTCAAGCCTTGTGGTCATATCCAGAAGTGTCATATATTTTGCTTATATATTGTAATCTTTATCCGAGTCGACGGTTGGTTGGTGACAAATAAAGTTTAAAATTTAGGTGACACATCCCAGGAAAAAAATCAGGCCGTGAGAAATGTAGCTTTTTTATGGTCATTAGTTTGTAAGGTCAAAAAGAAATTTTTAAAAAAATATTGTTAAAAAATGGGGAAGCAAAAAGGTGGTATATAGAAAAGGGACAACGCTTGAAAAATACATATTATTTACATTGACGGGCGTTGTACTGTATACAACTAGCAGTAAACACGGTGGATAAACTATGGGGAAAACTTAAATTTGTTACAGTTCATCCAAAGTATGATAATCATCCAATTAACAAGTGAGATAACTTTTTATAATAGTATATTCAAACTATGACAAAAGTGCATGGCTAGTTATAACATTTTTTTTTCCATCACGAGCCATAATAATGTCTAATAATAACGTTGAACGTCAACAATGATTAATTTAAATATTTAACCCCCCCTTAAGTATCCAAAGGGCCACCATGAGTATCCAAAGAGCCAACATGAGTATCCAAAGATCCAACATAAGTATCCAAAGACCCAACATTGGTATCAAAAGACCCAACATAAGTATCCAAAGACCCAACATGAGTATCCAAAGAGCCAACGTGAATATCCAAAGAGCCAACATGAGTATCCGAAGAGCCAACATGAATATCCAAACGGCGGAAAAACCAATATTTAATCCTTACTGTAGTCTTGCACAAAGTTTTGCGCTCAGAATACATGAGAGATTCGAGGGCTTCCAGTGCAATCTCAATATATTTGTGTTCGCAATTGGCTAGTAATAATTTATAAGCACCGATACCTTGAGATGCTCGGTGACTGAGTTAATCTACAAATTATAAATACCTGGCTCTTTCAATGTATAAATACAGCACATGCGGGTCTATGTAAGACCGAACCCCATGGCAGCACACTCACTACAAGGGTACGCCTGTCGAATGACTAAGACCTTAAACCTTGCTCACAAGTCGTCTCCGTCAACTCCAAATGGGCGGGTCGCATCGGACCTGCCTGATATAGGACACAACAAGGGAAACAACGCCGCCAGGGGTCACGTGTTGGTCCCGCGATGGTCAGTCACCGAGCATGATGGACCAAACAAGAGGTTAGGGAGCAGCACACAGCGTTGTGCTCCTTCAAATTTCAGTAGGTGTGTACATGTTATCCACAGATGTCAAAGGGACAATCAGAGGATCGTGTGTTACATTTTTACTATTAAACCGCACCTTGCCACATTAGTATTAAGACTGTGTCCATTGGAAAAACAAAAAAAAAGGTTTAAATGTGGTTGTCTTAAAAAGTTCTGGAGCTTTAGGATCATTGTAACTTTAGTTTAATGAGTTGGCAACATTGATTTATTAGGATGCGATTGATTGCTGGCCTACATCTGAAATATGTTCACTGTCATTTACCATGTTAATGCTCAACTTTTATCTCCATCCATTCCTGGCGAACACCAACTCACATTGCCCCACTCAACCCACACCGTGCCACCTAACTTAAACCATCCAACTCAAACCACACCGTCCCATCTAACCCACGCGACCCCCACCTAACCCACTCCACTCCACCCACACCGCCCCACCTAACCTTTACCTCCCACCTAACCCACACCGCCCCACCTAACCCACACCGTCCCACCTGCACCCATTAAAGGCCATGAAGAGAGACGATTTCTTTACTTTGAGCTACAGGACCGACTCTACCACCCGGCAGCATATTACTTTGCAAAGGTGAAAGAACTCGCTTTTCAAGTGACCTATTAAATTTTTAAAAATTAAATTTCTGTATTATCTAAATTTCGTTCAGACGATACCTTATAAAACTTGGGTATCGGTTTTAAAATTAAAGAAATTACATTTTTTATGTCCACGAACTCATAACTTGTATGATTTTATTAAAACATAAATTATTAAAATGACATATTATAATAAATTACCAATAATTAGATACACTTCATTTATTTCTTGTTAAGAAGTAAGGTATAACTAACTGATATTTTTTTTTAAATAGGTGTTCAGTGATATCCCTTTCCATCTCATCTATGTTCTGGTGTATATAATACCACTGTACTTTATGGCTGGTCTACCTGTGGATGGCTACATCTGTTGTATGGTAGGTTAAATATGACATTGTTTGTGTAACAGTCAATGGCTACATCTGTTGTTTGAGGGGTTAAATATGACATGGTTGGTCTTAAAATAGGTGGCTACATCTGTTGTGTAAATAGTATGGTAAATATGGTACGGCTGGTCTAACAGTTGCATGAAAGGTATAACATTTCCTATATGTTATATTAAATAGAGTCATATCGAGTCCATATGGTGCTCACGATAAGAACTTAAATAGCGCCACCCCCCACCCCCAATTATATTTGATTGATCTAATTTTGTTTATAATTAAGATTTAGAAGATAACAAAACAACACATAAGCAGTCTGGGTTATGATATTTTTTTTATTGTTTGATCATCAAATATGTAAACAAAACATACTAATACACGAGTACGATATCTTTCGATCACAATAGACGAGTACGATATCTTTAAATAACAATATACAAGAACGACATCTTTATGTAACAATATACGAGTACGATGTCTTTATAACAATATACAAGAACGATATCTTTATTAAAAAAATGGCTACGTCTTTTTAATATGAACATAATATATTGCCTTACGCTGGTCAGAACTAGTCAATGCTCGTCAGAACTAGTCAATGCTATAACAGAACTAGTCCATGCCAAACTGAACTAGTCAATGTTGATCAGAATTAATCAATGCTGATCAGAAGTGGTCTTATGTACTAACCCTGGGTACGCCTCAGTGTTTGTAAGGTTAAACAGGTCAAGCCTTGTCTAACAGTGGATCATGGCTTATAAGGCACCCCAAATAAAGCTGAAATATATTATTTATATATATATTATTTCATCTAACTAACATACCCCTCTCCCACTCGTGACATAGTTAAAAAATGCATAAATATGAGCCTCTAACGTGCTCATGTCATCTACATGCCATCTTCATGTCATCCACATGTCATCCACATGTCATCCCCATGTCATCCTCATGCTAATCTTTTTGCCTTATGAAACAGTTCGGGCTCTTTGTGGGCGTGTCTGTGTTCACGTCACGTTGCCTGGCAATGATGTCCGCCGCCATTCTACCGACCTATCAGATCGCAAGCTTCTTCTCGCAGACCATGTTCTCTCTGTTCATCATGAGTGCAGGGTTCTTGATCAACCTCAACAACATCATTGCTGGTAGGTACGGGTGACGCCATGGGTTGATGTAAGGTAGATTGCCGGTAGGTACCGGTGATGTCATTGGTTAAAGGAAGGTAGATTGCCTATAGGTACCGATGACGTCATTGGTTAATTAGAGGTAGATTGCTGGTAGGTACCGGTGACGCCATAGGTTAATGGGAAGTAGATTGCTGGTAGGTACCGGTGGCGCTATGGGTTAATTGGAAGTACATTGCTGGTAGGTACTGGTGGCGCTATTGGTTAATTGGAAGTACATTGCTGGTAGGTACCGGTGGCGCTATTGGTTAATGGAAGGTAGATTGTCGGTACGTACCGATGACGTCATTGGTTAATAGAAGGTAGATAGTCTATAAGTACCGATAACGTCATTGGTTTCTGAAAGGTAGATTGCCGGTAGCTACCGGTGACGTCATTTGTTAATGTAAGGTAGATTGTCGGTAGGTACCGGTGATGTCATTGGTTAATGGGAGGTAGATTGTCGGTAGGTACCGGTGATGTCATTGGTCAATGGAAAGTAGATTGTAGGTAGGTACCGGTGATGTCATTGGTTAATGGGAGGTAGATTGCTGGTAGGTACCGGTGATGTCATTGGTCAATGGAAAGTGGATTGCAGGTAGGTACTGGTGATGTCATTGGTCAATGGAAAGTAGATTGCAGGTAGGTGCTGGTGATGTCATTGGTTAATGGGAGGTAGATTGCAGGTAGGTACTGGTGACGTCATTGGTTAATGGGAGGTAGATTGTCGGTAGGTACCGGTGATGTCATTGGTCAATGGAAAGTAGATTGCAGGTAGGTACTGGTGACGTCATTGGTTAATGGGAGGTAGATTGCCGGTAGGCACCGGTGATGTCATTGGTCAATGGGAAGTAGATTGCAGGTAGGTACTGGTGACGTCATTGGTTATGGAAGGTAGATTGTCGGTAGGTACCGGTGATGTCATTGGTCAATGGAAAGTAGATTGTAGGTAGGTACCGGTGATGTCATTGGTTAATGGGAAGTAGAGTGCCGGTATTTCATAGTATTTTTCCCACGATCGTTCTTTTTTTTTACCCCATTATCGGATCATGAATGAACTTACATAGTCCAACATTTGGATCTTCCTGGATCCTAATATAGCAGACCCCTCCTCCCCCGCCCCAATTGTTTGACCCTCCATGTATGATCTTAGCGTCCATCCACAAATGACGTCACTCATATAGCGGGACGGGGATAAAAAAATTTGTGAAGATGTAGTAGGAGGATGTCTGAAATTGTGTGACGAATTTGTGACAATTTTGTCTGTGTGGCACTGGTGGGGAGGGGGGGGGGGCTAAAATCAGCAAAAATTGAATAACGTTATTCTTTGATGACCCCCCTCATAGCAGACCTCTACTATTAGTCCCAGGTCCGGCACTAGACATTTTTAGGTTGGGTGAAAATAGGCAATTGTCGCCCTCTGGAAAATGATGGGAAGAGTTCAACATTTTTTTTTTTAATTTTAACAAATTTTTATTCAAATTCCGCAGTGATGTTCACCCATCGCCCTGATAAGCCCCTTCATTGAAAACTTGTGTTTGTCTCACCAGGCACCCGTTGGCTGTCCATTTTGAGCTACCTGAGGTGGGGGTTCCAGGCCCTGTGTCTCATACAGATCAAAGACCTGGAGTTCGAGTGCGACACATCGGTGACCCACGTGTGTGTCCACAATGGAACCAAAGCCCTCGAGACGTACTCTCTGGACTCTGGTCAGCTGTGGCAGTGCGCCCTGGGGCTTGGTGGGACCATGGTGGTTTTTTTAGCCGTCATGCTCGTGGGTTTGATGTGCGTCCCACAGAAACCGCACAATGAGTGACGGACCGGCGTCAAGCCCCGCCTACCCTATTTATAACGAAAGAACATCAAAGATGGCTACCTCATTTGTTTTAGTGGCGTGCAGAAATATATATATATATATATATATATATATATATATAATTATATTTCAATTGTCTTTAATGTTCAGGATTTAGTTATTTGTCACATTAAGGAATGCCACAAAAATTCAATTTAAAAAAAAAAATGCCAATTGACGCCTTTTACTTTTATATAATTACAGTGGCGTAGCGAGGGTGTTTGGCGATCGGGGACAAGATCCATTTTTAGCACCCCCTTTTTTCTTTTTTTCAACGCTCAAACCATTATTTTCATCAATAAAATAATATCAAAGCACATTTTGGGGCCCCTAACTAGCTGGCGCCCGGGGACATCTGTCCCCCCTGCCCCCACCACGCTACGCCTCTGTATAATTATTCCAAAAACACATTTTCAAAAATGCCAAAAAAATGCACTTTATTTAAAATATATAATACTGCACTTTATTTAAACATGCATAACAATGCAATTTATGAAAATATGCCAATGTTCACAAAAGGGTATTTCAAATCAAATATACTGAGCAATGAAGGTACAAGTGATAGCGTGAAACCAAAGTTTATTTATAGCAGAGCTGCATGCAAGATATATTGCTATTATTTTTTTATATATTTTTTTTTTAAAAGTTTATTCCAATACGGAAATCTATGCAAGATTTTTTTAGTCTAAGACAGTATAAAAATGTATTCCAATGTAATGATCTATGCAAGTTTGTTTTTTTTTTGGTTGCTATACTTAGTTCCGTTTACTTTTTTTGCAATAATGTGCAAAGTTAATGATGACACAGAGTTCAAGATCATGTGATATTATGACGTTATTCTGTGTCTGATGGCTAACCACATTGACTGATGTTTGTTGTTTATTGAGACGGGACAAAAGGGTCATTGAACTACGCAGCGTTGGTGCATATTTTTTATTCATAATTGTTATTTATGTCAGATTATTAAATATCATCTTTTTAAATGTTTATAACCCATTCGAGTTATTGTTGTTTTATTGATTTAAATTAAAAGCGCACGTCACACTGCTGACACCGGTACAGAAAATGGTCAGTGATGCGATCAGCGCGATCAATCAGCATGGGCAAAGAAAGGTTAGCGAGATCAAATCAGCAGGGGCTAAGAAGGGTGAGCGAGATCAAATCAGCAGGAGCAAAGAAAGGTTAGCAAGATCAATCAGCATGGGCTAAGAAAGGTTAACGAGATCAAATCAGCAAGGGCAAAGAAAGGTGAGCGAGATCAAATCAGCATGGGCAAAGAAAGGTTAACGAGATCAAATCAGCAGGGGCAAAGTAAGGTGAGCGAGATCAAATCAGCATGGGCAAAGAAAAGTCAGCGAGATCAAGTCAGCATAGACAAAGAAGGGTCCTTGACATCAAATCAGCATGGGCAAAGAAAGATCAGCGAGATCAAATCAGCGTCAGCAAAGAAAGGATAGCGAGATCAAATCAGCATGGGCAGAGACGGGTCAGCGAGATCAAATCAACGTGGGCAACGAAGGGCCAGCGAGATCCAATCAGCATGGGCAAAGAAAGATCAGCGAGATCAAATCAGCGTCAGCAAAGAAAGGATAGCGAGATCAAATCAGCATGGGCAGAGAAGGGTCAGCGAGATCAAATCAGCATAGGCAAAGAAGACGCACTTACAGCATTCTCGGGTTCTCATGTAATGCATTTATTCAACTCTTTTATTCAAAACCACTTGAATTCATATATGACCCACTCCGCTGCCTAGACTTAGCACCTAGTTTTACAAATCTTTTCCCTGTGGCTTTTTTTGGCTTTATTTCTCGAAACAAAAGTCTGTTTCCTGTGACATTTACCCCACCCCCCACCCGACATGTATTCCCTGTGATATCTAGTTCCTGTGATGTCTAGTTCCCTGTCACATCTATTTCCTGTGGCATATAGTTCCTGTGTTATCTAGTTCCCCTTCACATCTATTTCCCGTGACATCTAATTCCTATGATATCTAGTTCCCCTTGACATCTAATACATGTGACATCTAGTTCCTACTATATCTAGTTCCCCTTGACATCTTCTTCTTCTTCTTTATTTTAAGGGCCCACGATCAATGAATTGATCATTCTGGCTCCTATGTTTCAGAGGGGTTTGCGATGTTACTGTCCATGGGTTTCAATGGGATACTTCACTGGTTGCAAGGGCGACTCAGCAGTGGTGTTATGAACTGGGGGTTGGAATACAGGAGGCAATAGACACAAATGTATCGAGTGTAGCCACCTCAACTGTTGCTTTTGGAAGCTTGTTCCAGTCCCCTATTGTCTATTTGCTGTGACATCTAGTTCCCGCTATATCTAGTTCCCCTTGACATCTATCTCCATCAAGAAAAAGGAAAGAGCGACGAGATGTCAGGAGTGAAGGTTTGTGGCATCGATGATTTAAAGCAGTGAGGAGGAGGGAGTGTGGCTACAGCCTACAACATATCAATGTTCAGTCACGTGGCTCAAAGTGGAAGCGGGAGAAAGGAAAGTACCACATATTTGTGGTGTGTGTCACAGCTGGTATACCAATGAAGGGGAATGACTCACGTTCTTCCATTTCAGAACTATTTATTACACGCTAACCTACATCGGATTATGCTAGCTTGCATAAATTAAATATAATGCGAGCTAATCTTCAGCGGCATAAAACAAGTAAATTACATAGCTGCGGCTACGTGTTTCTTGAGGTATACACAAAATAGCTGCCCTAGTTAAGAAGGAAATATTTCATAAATACAATTGAGAAACGATGTCAAAAGTGAATCGGCCGTCATATCGATGTCAAAGAGAGTCGACCGTCACAGCGATGTCAAAGAGAGTCGGCCGTCACAGCGATGTCAAAGAGAGTCGACCGTCATAGCGATGTCATAGAGAGTCGACCGTCATAGCGATGTCAAAATGAATTAACCGTTGCAGCGATATCGTAAAGCAAATCATTTGTGACACAATATCAACATATTCTTTAGTTTAAAGAAAGAAAAGATCCAATGCTAAGTGATAATGCTCTGATGGCCAAAGATTATCCATACCATCCCTATAAGACAAACTGGCACACGGAGTTACTTTATGGCATTCCCCAGACACACAGTCACACCAAAGTAGCCTGTGACATGCCTAAACGGACCATGATATACCTAAGCAGTTTGTGACTTCCCTAGACACCTTAAAACAGCCAAGTATGTATAGTTTATGACATCTAATAGACACAACGACACATCGGGGTAGTAAATGACCTATAGAGACACACCCAAGAAGTCCCTGAAATTCCTTGACACACTCAAACAGTCCATAACACATGCCTTTGATAAACAAAACCGATGTCTTGCACAGAATGCATATATTTTAATTTTTAAAAAAACGTTTAATGTGATCCATAACGCTGACATATTGTGACCAGCCAATAGGGTAAGACCACGTCCGCATTTGTTGACTATCGATTCCCTACTTAAAGTGAGCAGGATTTAACTGTGCGACTCAAGTGTGCGCATTTAATTGCATTCTCTATCAAGGGAGAGAGAAACCCTACAATGAGGAGGCAACCATCGTTAAAGGTAAAAGGTTTTCACACAATTAAAGTGGAGAAACAAACTCACCATCAAGATGGAGTAACAAACCCACCATCAAGACGGATTTGCAAACCCACCACCAAGAGAGATTAACAAACCAACCACCAAGACGGAATAACAAACCAACCAGCAAGACAGATTAACAAACCAACCACCAAGACAGATTAATAAACCAACAACCAAGACAGATTAACAAACCAACCACCAAGACAGATTAACAAACCAACCACCAAGAAAGATTAACAAACCAACAACCAAGACGGAGCAACAAACCAACCACCAAGACGGAGTAACAAACCCACCAAATTTACGGAGTAACAAACGCACCATCAAGACGTAGTAACAAACGCACCACCAAGACGTAGCAACAAACGCACCAACAAGACGAAGTAACAAACCCACCATCAAGAAGGGGTAACAAACCCACCACCTAAACGGATTAACAAACCCACCACCAAACTGGAGTAACAAACCCACCACCTAAACGGATTAACAAACCCACCCCAAAACGCAGTAACAAACCCACCATCAAACTGGAGTAGCAAACCCACCACCAAGAGGGAGTAACAAACCCACCACCAAGACGGAGTAACAAACCCAACATCAAGACGAAGTAACAAACCCACCACCAAGACGGAGTAACAAACCCACCATCAAAACAGAGTGACAAACCCACCATCAAGACGAAGTAACAAACCCACCACCAAGACGGAGTAACAAACCTACAATCAAGACGGAGTGACAAACCCACCATCAAGACGGAGTAATAAACCCACCATCAAGATGGAGTGACAAACCCACCATCAAGGCGGGTGACAAACCCACCATCAAGATGGAGTAACAAACCCACCATCAAGACATAGTGACAAGCCACCATCAAGACAGAGTGACAAACCACCATCAAGACAGAGTGACAACCCCACCATCAAGACAGAGTGACAACCCCACCATCAAGACAGATTGACAAACCTACCATCAAGGTTTAGTAACAAACCCACCATCAAGACAGAGTGACAACCCCACCATCAAGACAGATGGACAAACCTGCCATCAAGATTTAGTAACAAACCCATTATCTGAAAGCCTTTTTCTTTTCCCACGACTTTGTTCTGCAATCTCCCCCCCCCCACCCACCCCCCTTTCCCCAACACCCCGTTAACTGCAGTTTATTAGTAACAAACCCACCATCAAGACAGAGTGACAACCCCACCATCAAGACCGATGGACAAACCTGCCATCAAGATTTAGTAACAAACCCATTATCTGAAAGCCTTTTTCTTTTCCCACGACTTTGTTCTGCAATCTCCCCCCCCCCCACCCACACACACACACACACAATTAACGCAGTACTTCATTTATCATCCTAGAATACGGCACATCTTTTGGATGTGAAGGTCAAATGGTATTCAATGATTGGAGTATCGTTGATATTCGATGATTGGAGTACCAATGGTATTCGAT